GACGTGGAACCCGTGCCGGGGGCGGGCCCAGCGCTGTTTGAGGTTCCGCAAAGGGGAGCCGGCAGGATTGGACGCTGAGACCGAGTCCTCCTGCGCCGCCTCTGATTGGCTGCCTTAGACCAGCTTCTCCCCGCCCACCTGCGAACATGCACGTGCATCTGTCCACCTGTCCATTCCGGGTTCACCTAACGAGGTGTGTGTCCATCACGCGTAGGTCCCTCCCTTCCTGGGGCTTCCAGTCCAGGGCAGGAGAGGGGAGGAGGTCTGTGGTCACACAAGAAGGTGAGGCTGGCCCGGCCAGGGTGGCTCAATGGTTGAGCATCGACGGACCAAGGAACCAGGAGGTCACGGTTCGATCCCCGGTCAGAGCACATGCAGGGATTCGGGCTCGATCCCCAGTGGGGGGCGTGCAGGAGGCAACCGGTCCATGATGGTCTCTCATCATTGATGTTTCTCCCTCTCTCTTTCCCTCTCCCTTCCTCTCTGACATCAATAAAAACATATTTTTTAAAGAGGTGAGTGCTGTCTACGGTCCCGGGCCGGCAGGCCGGTGTTGCTGGGTGGGAGTTGGAGGGCCTGGCTGTGCGGGGGTCAGGGCCCGGCGGGGACCCATATCCCTGCAGTTGAGCAGGTGTTGGGGGCACCTGTCCATGAGCACCGGGTGAGCAGGGGGAAGGTGTTACTTAGGCAGACAGTGAGCTGTTGGGATGCAGGACCGGCCGTTGGGGTGACAAGGAGGACGGCCAGGTGCAGGCGCTGCCTGAGGCCCTGGGAGGGGCCCAGGTGAGGCTGGAGTGGGCGGGGCTTGGACCTTCTCAGAGGAGGCCAGGGAAGCCCTTGAGGAGGAGAGGGATCCAATTTGCATTTTTAAAAATTTGTATTGATTTCAGAGAGGAGGGGAGAGGGGGAGAGAGAGAAACATCAACGATGAGAGAGAATCATGGATCGGCTGCCTCCTGCACGGCCCACACTGGGGGTCAAGTCTCCGTGGGGGGGTTTCCGTGGCTTGTTCCATGGCGGCTCCGTGGCGGGCTCCGTGGCAGGTCCCGTGGCAGGCTCTGTGGTGGGTTCCGTGGCGTCTTCACGTGGCTTGTTAATCCCCTGCATCCCCAGGAGGGACCAGCGGGTCTGGAGGAGCTGACCCTTCGACAGTTGCTCATTTGGAAGGAAAAGGAGCAGAACAGGGGAAGGAGGAGCAGAGGGCAAGATGCAGTTACTAAGGCCGATGTTTCTCCCTCCCCCTCCTCCCGCCCTCCCACGCTCTCTAAAGAATCATTGGGAAAATCCCTCGGGTGAGGATGCAAACACACGCATAAATAAATAGCGTTCGGGGTCCCAGGGGCTCCCCTTACCCTCCGCCAGGCAGAACCCTAACCACGCGCTTTTGACCGGGACGCGCCGCCCGTTCCTCGGTGTGATTTGCAGCCACGTGTCGCGTGACAGCGGCCGTGTGTCATGTTCATAGCAGTCGCGCCTCAAGGTCAGACCCCGAGATGGCGAGGCAACAAGATGGAACGGCCTGTCCCTCGACACAGACATTTCTCTTCCCGCTGAGGAGGCGGGGACGGGCGCCGTGTGGGCTGGTGTCGTTAGGATGTGGGAGGACGGGCTGGTTCATGGAGACGTGGGCACAAGGCGGCTGTCCGTCCGTCCGCCCGCCCAGCCACGCTGTCCACGCGACAGTATCTCCGGATTGGCGTCTGCAAACACATCCTCGTTGTAACTTTCCCTGGCCTTTCTTTCTTTCTTTCTTTCTTTCTTTCTTTCTTTCTTTCTTTCTTTCTTTCTTTCTTTCTTTCTTTCTTTCCTTCCTTCCTTCCTTCCTTCCTTCCTTCCTTCTTTCTTTAAAATATATTTTTATTGATTTCAGAGAGGAAGGGAGAGAGAGAGAGAACATAAATGCTGAGAGAGAATCACTGACCGGCTGCCTCCTGCACGCCCCGCACTGGGGATGGAGCCCCCAACCCGGGCCTGTGCCCCGACCGGGAATCGGTCCGTGACCTCCTGGTTCCTAGGTCCACACTCACGCCCTGAGCCCCGCCGGCCGGCCGGCTCTCTCCCGGGCTCTGTCCGGTGTCGCTGTGCGAGGATCCTGGCCCCTTTAGCTGGCGCCCGTGACATGTCTGACGAGAGAGGCGGCCGCCCTGTTTGTCCATTCCGGTCGTCGGGTTGCCGGGCCGGGCACCGTGCGGAGAGAGGCGGGGTCTGGGGAAATCTCTATTCCTCCCGAACAGGAAACGCAATTAACAGAACACACAGGCCTGGCTGCCGAGGATGGAACTAAATTGGGTGGAAATTGACCCAACCTGTCCCTGCGCGCCCGGAGGCGAGAGCCGTCCCTGCCCGCACACCAGGCGCCCCCCCACACACCTACCCGAGTGGGCTTCCCCGGTTCCCGCCGCAGGTGCCGGGTCCGGAGGACTTGGGCAGGACGTCGTCCTTCCGGGAGAGCTGCTCCCCTGACAACGCCCCCCTCCTTTCTGCCACCTTTGTTTTTCTTGTGTGTTTTTTAAAAATATATTTTATTGATTTCAGAGAGGAAGGGAAAGGGAGAGAGAAACATTAATGATGGGAGAGAAGCATTGATCACTTGCCTCCTGCACGCCCCACAGTGGGGATCGAGCCGCAACCCGGGCCTGTGCCCCGACCGGGAATCAAACCACAATCTCCTGGTTCATAGGTCGGTGCTCAACCACTGAGCCACACTGGCCGGGCTGCAGTCGTGTTTAAAAGAAAAGCCCTGGCCGGTTTGGCTCAGTGGGTAGAGCGTCGGCCTACTGGCTGAAGGGTCCCGGGTTCGATCCCGGTCAAGGGCATGAACCTCGGTTGCAGGGTCCTTCCCAGCCCGGGCCCTGGTCGAGGTGCGTGTAGGAGGCACCCATCAATGTGTGTCTCTCACATCGATGTTTCTCTCTGTCTCTCCCTCTCTCTTCCACTCTCTCTAAAAATCAATGAAAAAAATGTCCTCAGGTGAGGATTTTTTTAAAAAGAAAAAACAATAAATTCACAGTTTTGGGAGCCAGCGTCATATGACAGGGAGACAAAGGTAGAGGGAGAGAGAGAGAGAGAGAGAGAGAGAGAGAGAGAGAGATCGCCCAGGTCCCGATGGCCCCACGGACGCTGGATTCATTTAAGATGTTTGCTTTCTCACTTCCCACCCTTCCTTCCTGACGTCGGTCTGTGTTGAGCTTCTGATACTTACAACCCGAGTGATTCCCGGCCGAGCAGGGAGCCCTCGCCCGGCCCCTCCGTCTCGTTTCTCATCCGACACTGCCGGCTGCACGGCGCTCGCTGGGCCGGGAGAGGTGCCGCACTGCAGAGGGAGGTGATAATGAGATTTAGGATCCGGAGAGAGAGAAGGGATGACACCCGCTCCTCCGCCCGGAGGTCGGGCGGCCTGTTTTTCTCGGTGAGACCAGCCCGTCCGGGGCTCCCTCCGGGCTCAGATGATCATCCAGGGGGCGCGGTGTCTCCCGGGCCCACCGTGAGCTTCATTCGCTCCATTGTCTTTTCTTCCCTCCCCTGCGGAGTGAGGATGTTTGCCATTGATTTTTAGAGAGAGGAAGGGAGGGGAGGGGAGGGGACGGGGAGGGGAGGGGAGGGGAGGGGGGGGGGAGATGAAGGGGGAGGGGGTGGGGGACGCGAGGAGGAGAGAGACACCAATTGGTTGCCTCCCTCACTCACCCCAAAATGCTTACCTAGATTCATGCCCTTGACCCCAAGTTGAACCCGCGACCCTCTGTCTGCAGGCCAACGTTCTAACCCCTGAGCCACACCGGCCAGGGCCAGATTGTCTTTTAAAGAAGGCTCCGGGGCCCTGGCCGGTCTGGCTCAGTGAATAGAGCGTCGGCCTGAGGACCAAAGGGTCCCGGGTTCGATTCCGGTCGAGGGCACACACCTCGGTGGCAGGCTCCCTTCCCGCCCCGCCCCCGTTCAGGACCGAGGGGCACAGAGGTGCTGTCTGTCGGGCAGAGGGCACGCGTCCCCAGGGGGACAGAACCGGACCTAAGACTCAGGACTGAGGCATTGCTGCGACACCAGCGAAATTAAAAATATACATCATTGTGCGTTAATTATGCAGCAATCAGGCAGCAATACCTTTTATAAAAACATTTATTGTAGCCCAGCCGGCGTGGCTCCGTGGCTGAGCGTCGACCTAGGAACCAGGAGGTCAGGGTTCGATTCCCGTCAGGGCACAGGCCCGGGTTGGGGGCTCCATCCCCAGTGGGGGGCGTGCAGGAGGCAGCCGGTCCGTGATTCTCTCTTATCATGGATGTTTCTCTCCCTCCCCTTTGGGCCCCTGGGGAAGGCCGGCACTAACCCTGGGCTCTCTCTCCCCCCAGGGCCAAGGTGAAGAAGGGGGTGAACGTGCTGAGCGCGCGGCCCAGCGAGCCCGGCCAGTGGGCGGTGCAGCAGGAGCTGGGGGCCGGCGGGAAGCACAGCACCAGCACGGTGGTCTGCCAGCGCCTGGGGCCCGGCGCCCGCAACAGGTAGGTGCGCCCCGCAGGTGAGCGCCGGACACTCACGGTCACGAGCTCTGGACGCCCCACCCCACCTCACGTCAGAGGCTGGACCCCCTGGCATGATGGTACCCGGAGGGCAGGGCGCGATGCTGCCTGTGTGTTGTGCGGGCTTTGGAGCAGAGATGCGCTAGCGAGGTCCTACTGTGTGTCACCGAGGCTCAGGAGTTAGCGAGGTCCTACTGTGCGTCACTGAGGCTCAGGAGTTAGCGAGGTCCTACTGTGTGTCACTGAGGGGGAGAGGGAGGATAAGTGATCCATTCACACGATTCCAACCTCAAAACCTCGAGACAATGACAAGCAGACTCTACCCCAGCCTCCCTCACCCAGCTCCCGCCCCAGGCCATCGGGGTTCAAACTTCTACATAGACCTTCCGTCGATACTTGTTTTATGCATGTGGAGCACACACACACACACACACACACCACACACACACACACCACACACACCACACATA